ATTGAATAATGTAATATATAATAAATTGCCCAAAATAAATAATGCAATAAAATACTTTATTATGTATTAATTTTAATTGCTCAAGAAAACATTTAAGAATTAATTTACACAAAAAAATCGTTATTTTAACTTTTTATAAGGAAAATTTTGGATTTAAGGAGTTTTTAAGGCAATGGAAAGATCATTGTTATAATTAAGCATTTCTAAATTTAATAACCTATATTTATATTATTGACTTCACAATAATTCTTGAATCAAGTCAATTTTTTTTAAGAGTGATGAGTGGTAAAAAAAAAGAAATAAAATATTTTAGAGTGATAATTTATGAGATTTTTGTTAAATCATTTTGAATAACTTCCTCTGGAATATCTATTTATATATTTAGATTAGAGCTTGAGTATTACAAAATCATCTTCATTAATGACTATAAAAAATAAGAAAAAATATGAGCTATGTAACCTAATTTTTCATAATGAAATATATATAATGATCAAGTAATTGGATAATTTGACTTGAGGAAATAATCTGCTAAACTAATAAGAAATCATTGATTTGTCGTGCATGAATAGACGAATAGTCCATCACTAATTTCCCATATGAAGGAAGTCGTCTACTTCAAGAATCATTAGGACCAACATGATAATAGCTTTACAAAGCAATTAGAAAGCCGTCCCAAACGAATCCTGAGTCATATAATATACTAATTAAAAAAATCTATTATTTGCCTCTACATGGTGCAAGCAAGGCATAAAGGATGGGTAGGTATAATATAGTAAATAATATAATTCAAGCATATAATATGAAGAACATATGGCCCAAAACTAAAGATTATTGAAAAAAATCAATGGTGGTGGTTGAAGCATTGGATGTCAATGATGAATTGAAGAACATGCGACATTAAAGTGAGTAAAGCTATACTATCTTATTTATAAGCTTAAGAAAATATTAATTTGTTGATAGATTGAGTGGAATATAACACTTATTAGACTTTGAATTATAGCAAATTAGGGTCCCAAAGTGATGATGTTGAACTATAAGATTAGCTATCATTTTGATTAGGGATCTGATTCTCGAAAGCGATTCTTCATTATAAAATTTAAAAATTATAATAATAAGAAATCTATAGTGGAACGAATACTTGGCTAATGAGGTATGAGTTCAATTTGAGTCAAAAATTGATTAAGTTTTCGTTCAATATCAGCCTTTAAATACAATTTTGTTTGTTAATATCATAAAATCACGCAAACTTATCATAATATGAATATCATAACAATAATATTAAAATGACTTTATTTATATAAAAAACTTATATCAGAACATTCGAAAATTTATGCTAAAATTGAATAATAAATTTTAAATTATTATTATTTTTTTTTCTTAATTATAATGCCACATAGAGAGATGGTGTGATGTCTCCATCCAAACATAGTGATTGTCATCAAAAAGTGGATTTTAAGTGGTGGGCCATATAGACAAACTTATTAGGTAGAAGATAGTATAAATATGTATTGGCAATTGGGCACAAGAAAGTAAAAGATGTGTTGTCACTTGTCCTTAAAAAGGGTTTAGGTATTGATAAGGTGATTGAGAAGTGGCATTATTTTGTCAATAAGGAGGTGGCTTTGTTTGTATTTAAATGTCTCGTGGTTGCATTAACTATTGATGGTTATGCTTTTGACATTTTGTGGAGATATTGACTAAGTAATATAATTAAATTAATTTTATTTTTTTAATTGGTGTAGCTTATACTTTGTTTGAGACATCTTTCTTATTGCTTTCTAAAACAACTGTTTAATATAAAAATTTCTAGTTAAAAAATTTTTTTATAAAAAAATAAAATTAAAAATCAATAAAAAAGTCATCCCAAACGAGATTTCATCTGGGACAGCTTTTTTATTGCTTTTAAAACGATTTTTTAGTTCAAAAATTAAAATTTTTATGTTAGAAAGCCACTTTAAATAGCAATAAAAAAGTCATCCCAAACTAGATTTCGTTTGGGATGACTTTTTTATTGCTTCTTGAAGTAACTTTATTGTATAAAAATTAAAATTTTTGTACTAGAAAGTTGCTTCAAGAAGCAGTAAAAAAGCCATCCCAAACGAAGCCTTAGTCTTTAGCTTAATTATTGTACAAGTCTTGCTCATGGATACTATATTTTTGTTTGATGTATTTTTTTTAAATTATCTTTTTAATTTTAAACATTTTTCATCTTATATTCAATTGCTATTCTAAGTTATTTACTTATTTTTCACTTTTTTTAGATAGATTGTTTGTTTTCAATAATAAGAAAAACACCTAAAAATACAAATCAAACATATTTCTTAAAAAAAAAATGATTACAAAGAGGCCATTAAACTCATCAGTGTCAACAATTGTCAATTACTGTTGTTAAATATGCTTTGAAAATGGCACAATTGTAATTCTTACCAAGTCTATTGAGGCGGATATGCTTTGAGCAGGCTTTATTTAGTAATATAATATGAAATTTTAAAAAAAAAATTAATTAGAATATCCTGAGGTTATAATTATGCTTGCCTTAACATAATTATAATTATCAGAATAAATAATGGAAAAATATTATGTTGGGATATCCTAATTAAATTTTTTATTAGATGACTTTGATGCTTTTAGATTTACATTTAGATTAGTGTAAAATATAAAATAGTTATATTATATTCATCTCAAAGTAGGTTCAAGAGTTTTAAAATTCATCATGATTATTTTTTAATTTGATCGTGATATTCTAGCATAATTTTTTTTTCTAAACTATCATCATTATAATTTCCTAATCAAATCATCAATAGAATATTAATAAATTTTCATCATTTGTCATAATTAAATTATTTATTTTTGAATTTATGAACTCTCATCTTTATTCATTTCTTATGAAATTTGTACTAAGGGGTTGCTTGGTTGACGAAAAAAGAAATGCAGTGTAAAAGGAATACATTAACGTTGTTTGTACCAATGTAAATTAAAAGCAAATGAATGGTTTTTTGAATTGTTTTTTTTTTTTTTTGGTAGGGAATACAAATGAATGTAAAGTCCAAAGATATTGGCTGCCGACGGGTGTTAACGGTGGTGGTGGTCGGCAGTGATGGCGGCGGCGGGTGGTTGCTACGGTGGGTGATGGTGGCCTAGAGCGGGTGGTGGCCGGAGGAGGGTGGCGATGGTCGACAGTGGTGGTGGCAATGGTGGTAGCAATCAAGCGAGCTTGCTTGCTATGTAAATGGTTCTCACTCAAAATTGAGCGAATTAACTTACCTAAAAAATAACTAAATTTATTTATACTACATTTATTTTACTTTGCATTTCTTTTTCATCCAACCAAATATCAATATTTTCAAAACCACTACATTTGAAATACTTTACACGGATTTTATTTCGAGCCAAATAGCCCTTAAATCATTTCAATGTGCATAAGAAAATTTATGATGTTAAAGACAAAAGAGAGAGTTTAACATTTTAGTACCCTACAAAGATTTAACATTCATACAAATAAAAGACGTTTACAAGATACACTAGAATTTTTGTGCGGAAAACCCAAAACGGGAAATACCATAGGACATAACCCAGTTGAAAAGATTTCATTAGTATTTATCATTACTTACAAATAATGTTTTTCTCCATAATTGAAGAATATGTTGATAGAATACAGTAAATATAAAATTATAGAATAAATTGTGGTCGAAGTTAAAAGAGCAATATATTATGATAGCTATCATCAATAGATCATTATATATATTGTCATTCTCCTTAGTGGAGAGGAGATTAGAGATAAAGAAGTCTAATATAAATTTTGGTTCTAACATCACAAGTCAAAGTTGGCATTGAGCATTTTCATTTATATTTGAAGTTCACAATTATTGTTTCAATACAACGACGACAACAACAACAACAACATCATCATCATTAAGCTTTTGTCCCACTACGTGGGGTTTAACAATTATTGTTTCAATGCTTTCAGCTATTCCAAATGATTGATTTGGACTCCTTCAGACTCAAATTGGACCACTCTTGATATCGGTAGATTCATCTCAACAAGACGTTTAATTTAGCTGTAAATTTGCTAAAATCATAATTTGAATGGTCGTGAATTTGATTATTAAAATTTCCAATTCAAAATATACATTGATATTTTTATACATGTCATATCACTAATAAAAAATAATTATTATTATATACCATTATTATTGATGATATTGTGTTACTATATTTTATTTTGATCTAAAAAATCAATTAAGTACATGTGAAGTCTTTCATCCTCTCTATAAGAAACATATAGTCTAATAAATATAATATCTAATTAAATGACATAATATATATATAATAAAATGTTTATGTGTACCAATGTAAGCTCAATTCAACAAGCAAAGTTGAGCCAAATCAACTTAGACTAAAATTTAGCCTTTGTTTATGGTCATATTGATTCTTGCAAGCTTTGTGCAAAAAAATATTTATTTTTCCTAATGCCCTTTTAAATAATCAATATTTATTTCATTTACAACTGCAATATTATCAAATATTAATACAATCTTTATAATGCAAACCACTTTAAGAATTGACAAATAATAAATATAAAATTTGTAATTATTAAATTTATTATGGAATCATCAAATCTAATACATGACTAATCAATGATTTATTTTCAGATAAATGTAATATAAGAATTGATTGAGTAGGCATTTATTATACTCATTTCATAGTAAAAATAGTTAAGAAAAAGTTTTATTGGATAGAGATGGAAGGCTTCATTTGAGACAGCTTAATTACTATTTTAAAAGCATTATTTTAATAAAAAAAATTTAATTAAAATTTTACTTTAAAAAATAAAAAAATCTTCCCAAACGAACCAACCATTTTTTTTTAATTTCGCTTAGTTCATACATTTATCAAACTTTGGCTCTATTTGAGACATCTTTTTTACTGTTTTATGAATTAAATTTTTAGTACAAAATTTTAAATTAAAAAAAAATACTAAAAAGTAAAAACCTGCTACATAAAACAATAAAAAAATTGTCCAAATTTTTTTTTATTTAAAACATTGAGAAATCATCAGTTCCCAGTTCCATAGACAAGATCCTACAATCAACCAGAGCTCAGTTTTCGAATCAATTATTGGGTGCAAGTCCTGCTTTTATCTTCTCCACCAACTCAGATTCCATCCTAAAAGCTGCGGCGAGCACATTCTCCGGCACCGCTGGCGCCGCCTCAAACAGCGCCGCCGCCGCCGGCTGCGTTCCCGGGAGCTGGCTGTCGAAAGCCGCAATCGCCGCAGCCGCCGAGCTGCCGTTATTGAAATGGAAGTGCAGTAGGCCTCGGGGGAACACAAAGATCTCACCTTTTGATATAATTTTAGTGAAGAGCTTATTTGATGTGGTGAGGAAGCCGACGAGGAGTTCGCCGTCGACAACGAAGAGGATCTCGGTGGCGCGGGGATGGACGTGGGGAGGATTGACGCCGCCGGGTGCGAAGTCGTGGCGAGACATGGAGATGGAGAGAGTATTGAGGCCTGGGATCTGCCGGACGTCGGCGGGAGTGGCGGCGGTGCCCATGGTGTTGGCGGTGGATGCCGGAGCGGCAAGGCCGGAGAAGAAGAAGTCGGTCTCGTCTACTTCGCTTGATGATTTGCATGTGAAGCCATCAACCTTTATATCTGCCGTTATGTAATTATGGCGTAACAACATAAGTAAATAATCCAGAAAATGCCGTTAAAAATCAGGAATATTGTGCTCAAAACAACTTCACTTATTCCTTTCATAGCATAATTAATACTTCAACCAGTTATTAGGAGCTTAGCTTGAAGGATCATAAACGAATTTTTTTTCATAATTTCATATTATAAACTTATTTCTAACAAAATTAATACAATTTAAATATATCTAAGGCTTTGTTTCTGATAGTTTTCTTACTGCTTCTTAAAGCTATTATCCAATACAAAAATTGTAATTTGTGTATAAAAACAGCTTTAAGAAGCTACAAAAAAGCCGTCCTAAATGAAGTCTAATAAAGCGAGAAAAAAATAATCTTTTTTATTAAAACTATGCTACTTACATGCTTTATGTTAAACTACTGCGCCATATCTTACCTTTCTTAAATGGTGAAACTCTCAACAATGGAGAAAAAGGAGAGGAAGTTGAATATAATCTAGCCAAGGGAAAAGCATTGAAGGCCCGGGTAGCATTAGACCATCAAGGAAGTCATCGACAACAAGATGTAAAGAAGTCGAGAGAGGATCTTGCTCAAGAATAACATTGATGGGACCAACGACATGTGAACATCGAGGAAAAAGTGGAGAGGAAGCAGTAACAAAAATTACATCGACGACACCAAATGGCATATACATTGATAGAATATAACCGAGGGTTTGAGAAGGTGGTCTTTTCCATGTTATTTGAAAAAAAAAGTGTTATGTGAGTAAATCAATAGTTTCAAATGTTAGATATGCAAATAGCATAATTTTAAGTGTTGTGCACCCCCAAAATTATTTTCACTAGCAATTTCCGACTGAATTCTAGTGAAATCTCATACCATACAGAAAAAAAAGAGCTTAATTTCTACCAATTCTTTACTCCAATCTCTCCCCAAGAAAAGAGATAAAAATCGAATTTTTATCATTTTTCATTCACATTCTCTTTACATTCCCTTCTTTCAAATCTTTCAAACTAAACAGAATCTTAATTATAACTACAAAACAACATATAAATCAAAACTAACTAATAGAATTACCCGAGTTGAGATCAGCGACGCAGAAATCCTGCGATTGGTAATGGAGATCATCAACTGGGTGGTGGCCATGGAAGCGGAGGATGATAAGGATGGAGGCAGCTATTGTGAGGAAAATAGAGATGAAGATACAGAAGATGAAAGCCTTATTCATGTTTGAACCCTCCTAATTTCTCCAAACTTTGATCCTTTCTGATATTTAATATGAAGTGTGGTTTGGAAACCAAGTAACATAGAAGATGGAGGGAAATTGACATTAGAAGGAAAAAAGCTAAGCATTTTGTTATTTGGAGCAGTAATCTTGCATGTTTAGAAGATGTCTAATTAAATTAAGCTCAATCAAGAGCTTTATGCTATGGACTTGAAGGAGAGAGAGGAAAAATTATTACTTGCGGGTCCGTCTGGAGACAAATAAAAATGAGCTACGCCGCCCCCAAAAATGTACCGCACTCGGTACAAAAATGTCGAACAGGAGGACCGTCCGGTGTCCGCATAGAATAATCGCTCGAGAGAGAGAGAGAGAGAGAGAGAGAGAG